ACCAGGAGACAGACATGGCATCACTTCCCCACAATGGGGCTGGCCCTGTCCAGAGGGTGGACGGGCAGGCCTGTCCTGAGGCAGCCAGACCCCCGGGGGATGCACGCAGGGGGGACGCCTGCCCACGCTGCACCCAGCTTGTGGCTTGCCATGGACAGATTGGAAAGCCAAGGCCTGCCCGGGCCCAGTAGTCCGGAGGAAGCCCTTCCCAACGACAGCCCTCTCCACGTCTTTGTTACTCGCCCGGCCAATTGGGACCGGTCTCGGGGCACTGCCCTGTCCCGGCAGCACTGAGCTGTGAGCGGGCGGTTCCCACTCAACACTGCCCAGCAAACCATGCGGCTTGCCTGGGAACTGCCAGCTGCCCACAGCCAGGTGGGCACCAGTGGCATCAGAAGAGCCAGTCCAATGGGCTCTGGGCACCCAAGTCCCTTGGGAGGCCCCCGGGGCCAGGGGGAGCTGGGCCCCAGGGGCAGTGCTGCCTTGCCGCAGGGAACTGTCACACACAGCCGCTGTCCCGGCTTCCTGTGGCTCACAGCGGGCGCCCAGCCAGCGGAGTTTTTGACAGGGTAGTTTCCCTGGTTGAAAAACCCCAGCCCAAAACTCCGTGCAGCAAACTGGGGTCAGGAGCCAGTGCGCAGGGAGCTCCTCAAGCGCCAGGCTCTGCCCCAGGAGCGCGCAGACTGCGAGGGGAGGGGAGAGGGGATCTCCCAGAGGGAAAAGCCCCTGGTCACCCAGAACAGAAACCAGAAATGCGAACAGCAGCTCCAGCTCCCACTCGGCCCCAGCTTGCGAAGTGGGGGTGACTCTGCCCTTATGCCAGCGCCTCTGAGAGCAGGACCTGGCCCTTCATTCCACGGGAGCAGACGGACTCCCAGGGGCACAGGGCCAGGTGCTCGGGGCCTGCACCGCACACCCAGACGGGGACACACACCTCGCCCTGGGTTTACCACGCTCCGGACAGAGCCCAGCGCCCACAGGTTCGGAGAGAGGCGTTTCCTCCTGGCCATCAGCCTGCGACAGCCACTGCCCGCTTCTGCACCCCCATGGGCGTCACCCGCTGCCTGCACCCACCTTCCGTGCCCCTGGCAGATGGCAAAGCACCCAGGAGAGAGCCAGGGGCCCCATTCTCCCCCAGCAGCCACAGGCCCGGGCCAAGGTGTTCAGAACAGAGACACCTCCGTCCTTCCGCACACCCCACAGCCAAAGCCAGTCCCCCCCGGGGGCCGCTGGAGCCAGAGGTGCCCTGGGAGGGCCAACCCCACGGGGTGCCTGCACTGAACTCCCCTGAGGCGAACCCCAAGGGCAGGGGACCCAGCACCGGGAGAACGACCCCAGCACGTTTCACGCCCCAGGGCCCCAAATACCTCCTCCAGCACGTTTAAAAGACAAGCTAGGGGAGTAACGTGGGGGCACCGACATTTGGGGGGGGATCCTGGACATCCCTCCCCCAACAACGCACCGAGCCCCCCACGGCAGGGCCCTGCCCCCCGACAATGCGCCGAGCTCCCCCATGGCAGGGCCCTACCCCTAAACAACGCACCGAGCCCCGCCACCAACACACTGATCCCCCCCACCGCAGGGCTCGTCGCCAATGCCCCACCCCGTGCTGTTTTCCCACCTTACTAATTGCAAACCCTGCTCAGCTTGGCCTGCTGCCCCCAGCCCCCCACCCTGAGGCCAGAAGCGCCCCCGCCTGCCCCAAGGAGCCGGGGGATGCCCCCCCCCCGAACTGCAAAGCTGAGATCGGTTTCCCCAAATGCTCCACACACACCCCACAAATAACCGGGGGGGGGTCTGTGCCCCCCAAGCTGTTACTTAGTGACCTCCCCTGTCTAAAGGGCGGGGGGGGGAGAAGAGCTCCCCCCTCCCCCTGCGCAGCCAGCCTGGGGGCTGCCCCCTTTCCTGCCTCTCCCACAAAACCGCTGCAAACAAAACCCAGCAGAGGCGCAACCCCTGAGCGGAGGGTCCCGGGACACGTGGGGGAACCCGGCGGGGTGCGGGAGAAATGAGGGAGGGGGGTGGCTAGATAGGGACGCAGGGACCGGAAGGGGGGATGGGGCTGTCCAGGGGGGTGGGAGCTAGAGACGGGGGGGACCCGGGGGGGCAGGACGCTGGGATCCAGCTGAGGGGGGGAGGGAAGAGGTAGGGACATTTGGGAGGAGAACGGGGGGGGGGGGGGCCGAGGACGGGGGGTCCAGGATCGGGGGGGGGGCTTGGCGGCAGTCGGTCTGGGGGGAGGGGATCTGGGGTAGGTTTGGGGGATCCGGGGACAGAAATGGGAGTCGGGGGGGTCCGGGGGGGCGGGTCCAGGAGCCCGCTCTTACCAGCACCAGGGCGAACCTCTCCTCCAGCTCGCAGGGCTCCGGCATCGGCATCTTCCCCGCGGGCAGCAGCCCGGACCCCCCCAGGGGGGCTCCGCCCGGGCTCCGGGGCAGCGGCTCCCCGTCCGCGCTCTCCACGTTCCCCATCCCCGGCCCAGGCACCGGGGGGGCGGCGGGGGAGCCTCAGCCCTTCGCGTCCGGCTGCCGCGGCTGCCTCCCCGGCACCGCCCCCCAGCACCGCCCCGCGCCCCAGCAGCCACTCAGCGCCCGGCACCGCCCCGGGCAGATGTGCCCCGCATCGCCCAGATGTGCTGCCCCCACCTCTGGCCAGATGTGCTATCCCCTATTGCCCCACCTCCTCCTCCCAGCTGTCCCCCCAGCACCCAGCTGTGCCCCTATCGAGCCCCCTATTGCCCAGATGTGCCCCCAACCCAGATGTGCTGCCCCCATGACCCGCAACACAAATGTCTCCACCGCTCAGCCCTGCCCCTTCCCAGATGTGTCGCCTCCTATAACCACCTACCCAGACGTGCTGCCCTCACCGCCCCCCGGCCCCTCGCTGTGCTGGCACTCTGGCCCCATGCCCCTTAATCTCACTCTGTGCCCAGATGGGGCTACCCCTCCCCCAGCCAGGGATCTCAAAGCGCGCTACAAGCAAACATCAGCCTGGGAAACGGGGCTTGTCCCAAGGCACCCAGCACCTCCGGGGGAGAGCCAGGCATAGAACCCAGGAGTCCTGACTCCCAGTCCGCCCCCTCCCCCCAACTACTGCTAGACCGCCCGCCCCCCCGAGCTGGGACGCGAACCCAGGCATCCGGCCCCTTTCACCCAGCCGCTGCCAGACCCGGGAGGTCCCTCGCGCTCCCCGGGGCTGCTCGGAAGGGAGAGGCCGCCCCCTGCTGGAGCATGCAGGGACAGACACTCCCACCCGGGCACAGAGTTCTCCAGACAGAGCAGGAGCCAGGCGGTCCCCATAACCTGGGGGGGGCTGCAGAGCACCGTGGGGAGGGGCAGGGGCCAGGGCCGGATTAACCTTTTGTGGGCCCGGCAGCAAACATATTTGTGGGCCCCCATGGAGGCAGTGGAGCCTGGCGCGCGGGGGTCGGTCCCCAGAGCGAGGGGACAGCCAGAGGCAAGGGGGCAGGGCAGGGGCGGCCCCACTCCGCCCAGCGCGAGGGCACTGTTTACAAACCGGCAGTTGCCAGACGCACAGTGGCCTGCCCGGCCCTATGCTGCCAGCGTGTCCCTTCCCCCAGGGGTGGGCCAGTGCTGTGCCACACAGCCCCCCCCCCCCCGCCCAACACCCCCCAACTCCCTATGGCCAAAGGCCCCCCAGATCCACTATGCCCAACCCCCCCAACCCACCCACAAATGCACAGCGCCCCCCTGCCCACAGCCCCACCACAACTACCCAGCACCCCCACAGAACCCCCACTCCCTAGTCCCCAACACACACAGATCTTCCCTGTCCCTTCACAGACCAGCACCCCCACCCAGATTCCCCACAGACCCACTCCCCCAAGCCCTGCCTCCCAGCCCTACTCATCAGCCCGGCAGCGCAGCCAGGGCCAGTGCCAGGGCCGGGAATCACCCCGGCCCCTCGGGAGTGGCGCGATCAGCCAGGCCAGGGCCTGCCCTGGCCGGGGTCCTCAAGACGCACTTGCCTGGAGGGGCCCCGCCAAGCCCTCCGCACTGTTCCCCCCCCACCACACGGCTGAGACTGGCCAGGCTTCTGCACCAGTCCCAGGCGGCTCAGCTCTGGGGAGACAGGTGGGGCCCCACAGGTGGTGGGAAGCAGAGACTGCCTGGAGCCGGAGGTGCCCTGGGGTCCAGCCAGGGGGCTGAGAGGAGCAAGGGGTGGGGCCAGGGAGCGCAGAGGAGCCCTTGCCCAGCCGGCGGGCAGGCCGAGAGGAGCAAGTGGTGGGCGGGGGGAGCCGGCGGGGTCTCGGGGTGCAGTGCAAGCGGAGCAGGCCGGGGCCCTTCCGAGCATGGGCCCGGCTTCACGGAGCGCGGAAGCACTGGGCTGGGACTCAGGAGCTCTGTATTCCAGTCACAGACCCTGGGCCTGTCCTTCCAGGGGGGATTTTCCAGGCCATTAACCCCTCTGGGCCTCAGCTCCCCCAGCTGCAAAATGGGATCATCCCAGCGGCCCCCCCGCCCCCATTCGGGCTGTGCTGCAAGCGCAGGCTCCTGTGCCCCCAGCCCGGCCAATACCCCACATGGGAAATCTGCGCTGCAGCCCCGGGCACCTGGCCCCGCTGCAGGGGGGTGC